CTTCGTGAAGAATGGCGTGCATCAACAGCTGGTCTGTGACGCCATTCACCGCAAGAACGGCATCCAGCTGCATAAACCATACCTTGGGATATGTAGATTGGAACGCCGGCAGTGGCGGACATATTCGCGGGAACATGGCAGCCGAGGGCTCATCGAAGGGCGTGTTCTCCGGGTCACCATATGTCGAGGAAAGAGGAGCGAGACGGTGGCAACAAGCCCGTGACAAGGTCAAGGCTTTATTTGGGACGCATGCGTAGGTAGAGTACCGCTGCAGCGTCAAGCCAAGTTCCGAAGCTAGGCCGTTCTGAAATACCTCGTGGCTCGCGCTACACGAGCCATGCGGCTCACTTCTTTTTCGGCGTGGCCACTTAGCCAAATCTAGCGTCATCCCGGCCACGTGTGCAGATCGCCATCACAACAAACAGACCTGCCCGCTCCAAGCGATCAACAATTCCGCCATTGCCACATACCACCAACGCTCTACTTCACTTGACCTTGGACTACGCCATACGTTCCGCCCATATGACGGACTACGGGATGCCGTATACGGGTTTGCGGTGCTGAACACCACCTCCGACAAGGAACCGACCACACGGAAGGTGCTTCTTCATCTACACAGATGAATCCTTCCTCGCGGTTCCCCTCGACCTCATCCCATCCAGCGCTGCGCCACAACAACAAGGTAGGTGACCTTCCTACCAACACCGACTCCCCTGACGTATCGCAGCGCAAACCGCCCGAAGATCGGCTTTTGGTTGACCGGTTGGCGCCTGCGGACATGTCGGTGAACACGACGACTTTAGTGCCTACTGGCTCCCTGTGCGACACCCAAACCGGTGCCACTTTAAGCTGTTCACCGACACCACGCGTGGCACCATAACCAAACTAGCTGCCGTCTCCCACGCAAGCAGCAAAGCTACCGCCAGCATGGCAACGACTTCGGAGGACGCTCCAGTTATGCCCATGGCGAAGTTGCCCAATTGCGACTCCCCGGCTACGCAATCATGTGGCCAGCATGCCATCCCCATCCTAAGAGCTCCTGTGGTGGCTACCATAGGTGGTGACGTAGCCACATACGTGGCGTGCCACTGTCTGGTACAGTTCAAGTCTCCTGCGGATACCGACTTGCTGCCGGCCATCTCTGGGGACAGCGCTGAAGAGCTTAAAACCAATCAGCACTTTCCGCATGACATTCGACGACGCAGAGGTTCTGATCAGTGCTGCTCGATTTTGGGGCATTTTCCTTCAGCACACGCCAGAGATGTACCAGCGTCGCTGCCATCTACATAGACCTTGCGCTCTTGTCACCAGCCCATTGCTGTTCAATGCACTTGTCCGCCAACGTGTCTACAGCCCGTTGGAAACCATAGTATGCAGTACAGAGCCTTGCTTCCAGCCTGCCGTTTCAAGGACAATTGACCTGCGTGCTCATTCCCGCACCTCATGCAGACAACGTCAAATTCTCAACAACGCTCGTGTCTACAATGTTCATGCAACACTTGTGGCACCTGCCCTCACGAGGCATCATCACACTCCTCACTGAAGCATTATCTGAAAGGCAACCGGGGTTTCTGCCGATGCCCACGGCCTCAAGGGCCTCGGCATGTCGCGTCAATGCTGCCTACCAGATCTGTTCGGCACGCACCTCGCCCTCTTCGTGGCACCCAGTGTCGCCCACCGGAACTGTTAGACACCCAACGTTTTTCCCGTTGATAACCTGGACTTCCCAAACGGACACTTTTTGGACTGTTGTTCATGTTTATAGCCTATTTCCATCTTTTTTATTTGTACATATGTCCTCGATCACGCAAAGCACTAGGGGGGGAGCCCTGTAGCGCCTCAGAATGCGGCACTCTTCAAGGAAGAAGAAGTGGGCAGTGGGCCGCGCGGCGGGCGCAGTGCGATAATAAAAAAAAATCAGTTCAAAAACTGAACGCTGTCAGGGTTGTATCTTCCTCGTGTTAGCTCCGACAATATCCTTAACCCCCTGTGTTACCTAATCCACTCTCCTTTCTTCTTGTCTCTTAAGGTTACACCTACAATTTTTTTTTCCATTTCTCACTGCATCGTCCTCAATTTAGGCTGAAACCTCTTTGTAAGCCTCCGTGTTTCTGCTTCGTAGCAAAGTACCGGCAAGATACAGCTGTTATATATCTTCCTCTTAAGGTATAGTGGCAATCTACCTGTCTTAATTTGAGAGTGCTTGCCAAATGGGCTCCACCCCGTTCTCGTTCTTCTAGTTACTTTAATCTCGTGATTCGACTCCACGGTTATTACCCGCCCTAAGTAGACATAGTCTTTTACAACTTCAAGTGGACTATTACCTATCTCAAAGCACTCCTTTCTTCCGAAGTTGTACATTACTTTCGTTTTCTGCAGATTAATTTTAGAACCCACCTTTCTGCTCTCCTTGTCTAACTCCGTAATCTTGAGTTGCAATTCTTCCCCTGAGTTACTCAGCAATGCAATGTCATCGGTGAAGCGCAGGTTACCAAGGCACTCTCCATTAACATCTATCCCTACTGTTCCCATTCTAGGCCTCTGAAAACCTGCTGTAAGCACGCGGTAAATAGCATGCGGGAGATGGTATCCCCCTCCCTTACATCCTTCTTGATTGGTATGCTGTTGCTTTCTTTATGAAGCACTATAATAGCAGTTGATCCCCTGTAGATTTCTTTCAGGATGTTTATATATGCTTCATCGAAGCCCTGATTCTGCAGTGTCTGCATGACTGCTGATATTTCTACTGAATCAAACGCCTTCTCGTAATCTATGAAGGCTATGTATAGAGGTTGGTTATATTCTGAGCATTTCCCTAATACCTGATTGATAGTATGGATGTGGTCGATTGTTGAGTAGCCTGTTTGAAATCCTGCTTGTTCCTTTGGTTGATTAAATTCTAATGTTTTTTTTTTCTGTTAGCAATTCCTTTTGTAAATAGCTTGCATACTACGGAGAGCAAGCTGATCAACCTGCAATTCTTGAAGTCCTTGTCATCTCCTTTCTTATGTATAAAATGATGTTAGAATTCTTCCAAAACTCTGGTATTCTTCCCGTCAGGAGACACCTCGTAAACAGGGTGGCTAGTTTTTCTAACACAATCTGTCCTCCATCTTTCAGCAGATCTGATGTTACCTGATCTTTACCAGCAGCTTTGCCTGTTTGCATGCTCTCCAAGGCTTTTCTGACTTCTATCATTACTGGTGAGGTGTCATCTGGGCTACTGCTAGTTCTTATAGTATTAAGGTCATGGTTGCCCCGGCTACTGTACAGATCTCTTTAAAACTCCTCCGCTATTTCAACTATCCTATCCATATTGGTAGTTATTTTGCCTTCTTTGTCCCGTAGTGCATACATCTGATTTTCCCTATTCCAGGTTTCCTCTTCACTGCTTTGACGCTTACTCCGTTTTTCAGAGCGTGTTCAATTCTCTTTATGTTATACCTTCTTACATCGGATACCTTACCCTGATTAATCAACTTCGAAAGCTCTGACAGTTCTATTTTGACTGTTGTACTTGATACTTTCATACTTTAACGCTTCCCATGTAATAAATTCTTACTCTTTATCTCTCTTTATGTATCCACTGCGTAAAGCGAAGTCCAGAAATGCTACCTGGCTGTGATAATACTGCATGTCATATAGCCATCATTCGGCAGAACTCCACCTCGCTTGGCATAAAAACAGATCGATGTAATTGCATTGCTAAGGGTAACAGAACAAGAAAAAATATAAAGAGTAAGAAAGAGACAAAACAATTAACAGTGGAGAATGCGAGGCAACGAAAGAAAGAGAAATGGGAAGATACGGGGAAAAATCACAGCATATCCATGAAGTGATTGATGATGAGTGGGGCAAAGTGTCTGTCTGTCTGTCTGTCTGTCTGTCTGTCTGTCTGTCTGTCTGTCTGTCTGTCTGTCTGTCTGTCTGTCTGTCTGTCTGTCTGTCTGTCTGTCTGTCTGTCTGTCTGTCTGTCTGTCTGTCTGTCTGTCTGTCTGTCTGTCTGGCGACGAGCATGGGCTGCCGGGGCCTTCGACGCCCGCCGCTCCGTTTAGTTCATGGCCCCGCCAACGATACGACACGTACGACGATGATCCAAGAAACTCAGAGATTACTCGTTCCCCGCGCACCCGAGAAATTGTCTGTCTGGCGACGAGCACAAGAAGCCGCGGCCCTCCGCATTGACCGCTCCGCTTCGTCCATGCACCATCATCCGACACCTTCGGCGACGATCCAGGAGACGCAGAGAGGTGCTAGTTCCCCGTAAATCTAGACACAGCCCGCGCAGCAGCCAATAGGAGACTAGCGGTAACGCGCCATCTAGAGTATCCTCACTCAACTGCAGTTTAATAAAACTTGTTGTTGCACTAGTTGGTTATTCGTCGTATTGTAAGATAATTAGTGCAACCTTGGCTCTTGCAAAGATTCACACAAACACATATGCACTAGAGTAACACACACGACATTCAGAGCTCGGCGAGTATTTGCGGGAATCAAGGTTGCGCTCAGTATCTTACAATACAACTGCAGTTTATATGTACTCCTATGAGACTGCGCCACCTAATATACTGTTCGCGGGATACTGTCGTTTACGCCTGACGCGGGAAAAGGTTGGACTGAAAGGAGCTAGAAAGGTAGATAGAAAAAGAGAGAGAGACAACGCTAGCATAGCTTTATTTAGTACGGCATAGCAAGAAGTGGAAAAGAGAAGTCAGGGTAAGAAGGCTTATTGCGAGGGTGAAGGGGAGCAAATGAGAATGAGAGCTGGCAAAGCGCAGCGTCGTCGTGCGTAGTATAGTACACCAAGGGGTGACTAACTAAATAGAAACTGGGGACCTGGAATAGGAGGCGGGGAAAGCCACCTGCTCCACTGTTCCCTGTCTTCGCCCCACTAATGCATAGCTGCTCGAACAATTTGTTGTTGTTGTTTTTTTTTCATTTAGGAGCAACCAAGAGGTGGCTTGAATGGCATCGCTTCATCAAGATACTTCCGTGTGCAGGTCCGTGGTCACCAGCTTTGGAACTCACTAACGGTGCAGTACAACCGGCAAATCGAGGACTCGGCTGACGAAAGGTTTCGCGTGACGTGCGAGTACGCATTCGACTACTGGAAGACGGTCTCCTTCCCGCTGCTAAACGTCGAGTAAGCACGCACTTTGAACTTCACTTGAAAAATTATTGAAAAAAAAAAACAAATAGCCGTGGGCAATCCAGCATTCTTAGGTTTATAGCTTAGAGCCACGCATTTATTAAGCGCTGCAGTATTTACAATAAACTGCAGTCTTCTAGGCAAGTCAAAGTGTGAACGAGCGGGCTCATCAATAAAGCATGGCTTTCGTTTCTACTAAGAGGGTAAAAACAATGAAGTTGACAGGAAAAGAAACAGCGAGACTTTATTAAAAATAAATTGAGGTAAGTTCAGTGATGTCCACCACTGCTCATATTGTGCTCGTTACGCTGTCATTGGAAACTTGGTCTAGTGGTTATGGTGGCAATGATGATGAGGATTAAAAATTTGATTTGGTCCCATGAAGGCGCAGGGGAGACCCCACGCCACGCGGCTAATCCAACGTAGGGACCATCAAGCCGAGCTTGGTGGCCCGTTCACGGCCACTCTGGACGGCCAGGGTTTCATCGTTAAGTTCGGGGTAACGTAAGAGCGCTGACCATCTGTAGTCCGTGAAGTCGGAGCCGACGACTTCACATTCCTAAAACACATTGTTGAATATTGCAAATAGTCCACTTGCAAGGCAGTCCACACTGGGATACCGTTCAAGGTACACGGCATGAAAAACCGCTGGGTTAGAATATGCACTGGCTTGCAATATTCTAAGGGTAACTGCCTTCGCCCTCCACAAGGCAGGGTGATCGACTTCTGACTCTAAGACGTGTGGCAGCTTGGGCTAGTTGGTATGGCATGACGATAGTTATAGCGCGAGAACAAAACGACGACACAGAGACAAGAAGGACACGAAAGACACGAGCGCTCGTGTCTTTCGTGTCCTTCTTGTCTGTGTGTCGTCGTTTTGTTCTCGCGCTATAACTATCGTCTGACTCTAAGGTCGCTTGATGAATCCCGGCCATGGCAGCCGCTATTCGTAGTAGGAAAAATTCTTTAGGCCAGTGAACTTAGAATTATATGCACGTTAAAAATAACTAGGTGGACGAACTATCCGGAGCCATCCAATACGGCATCCCTCATAGTCATATCGCAATTTCTGGACGCAACACCTCAGCAAGCTTTTAATAGTATTCATATTTAATAATGTATGCAAGTTATTAGGGTTGGTGCACGTGTACCTCAGATTCGTGCGACAAGTTATCTACGTGCTGGTTTTATTGGACTGTCAGGCATGTTTTGGTCTGACGTTTCTTGCCGTAGCATGCATATGAGGGCATGTTAGCCATAAGATGGCACATCGCTTGTCACAGCGCACGAGAAACAATTATTTACTGCTTCTTTCCTAGTGGACACGCCTAGCTTGCTTTGATGTGGCACTGAGAATGATATACCACTGGGTAAAGCTATAGCAACAACTACGGTGTGCAACGTGTAAGTAAACTGGACCACGTGATCGCACAGAACTGTCGCGAATTACCACGCTGCCTGCATCTGCCCGCCGCCGTTTTTTTTTTTTGCGTGTGGCACATGCTGCACGACGTCATCACCGTCATCCTCGACAATGTTGTCATCGTATGGTGACAGTGATAACTATCTTGATGCTTCCTCATTTTGCACATCTTCATTGATCCCACCTACTCGGGGCGGCCGCCGAATAGTGGTCTACTGGAGCAATCGCAAAAGGGCCTTGGAGGCTACACCCTTCCCTCCCAAATTATGATGTGCTGTCACAAACGCGTCAAATTTGTGTCGCATAATTCAAAGGTACTCAGCATTACTTTTCAAGTAAGAAAATGAACAAAAGGGTTGTTTTGTGTGAGTTCCAGTAAATAAAGGCAATGAGTCTGTAACTGTATTATAATTATCGAATTATTCTGCAACCAGTCAGCTTCAGTTCTTGCATAAGACGAATCCACTACTAGGCCCGAAATGCGTGCCTAGTTTTCTTTAGTTGTTGTATTTGTCTCAAGCGAAGAAAAAAATACTTTTCACGCTGTTCCTAAAGCGCGCCACAACGAAGAGTTGTCGAACATGGTAGTGTATTCCGCAAACTGGTCTTGTCCAGAAATACGCAGCATAATGAAGTTAATTAAGTGTCAGTGGTCCACTCAGGAGGTCAGCACAAGTGCTAACACGAAGTTTTGAGCCATTTGATCAAACACGTGGTGAGTGACGTGTCATTGAAGTTGGCGTGTGCATTTGCACACATGACAGAAAGAACTTTGACGCCATCTTTACTAGACGGCAGCTTAAAGTTTTAATTAAGCGTTCACGTTCTGTAGTATAAGATTTCCATGGATTATACCATTGTCTCAAGGTGCGGCCCACAGAGCTGGATTGCGCAGGCGCACTTCAGTATTTGTATGTATTATCTCCCAAGCTGTAATCACTGTTGACAAGTGGTAAATTATAAATGCGTTTTATAAAAAAAAAACAATTGCGCAGTCGATACGCGCAAGAACATTTTTTCGCCTGTACCCTTTTAACTTTTTACCTTGCTTGGGTAAAATTTGCTCTTAATCGTCCAGTGTGAATTTACTCATGCGTCGACTCTTCAAACTCGCCCACATTTAGATTGAGCATTGAATTTCAGTCGGAGTGAGTCCGAGTGAGTAATATTTTGGCGAGAGCGAATATTAGTATTCTGATTGAGAGAAATTTTAGTGAGTCTTAATTCGAGGAAATGCGCCTGAGAAAACATGAATGAGTGCGGGTCCGGGTGAGCCCTAAGGGCGAGCTATATTTCGTAAGTTTGAGTCAGCTCTGAGTTTTTCTCTAACCTATACATGTCACTTCGTCTTGTGCTCAGCAAGTGTGTTTCAAACAATCACAGCATATCCACGGAACAATTGATGAGTGGAGCTGATTGATTGATTTGTGGGGTTTAACGTCCCAAAACCACCATATGATTATGAGAGACGCCGTAGTGGAGGGCTCCGGAAATTTTGACCCCCTGGGGTTCTTTAACGTGCACCCAAAGCTGAGCACACGGGCCTCGACATTTCCGCCTCCATCGGAAATGCAGCCGCCGCAGCCGGGATTTGAACCCGCGACCTGCGGGTCAGCAGCCGAGTACCTTAGCCACTAGACCACCGCGGCGGGGCATTGATGAGTGGAGCTAAGCGCCCGGCTGACCGTCCGTCCGTCCGTCTGTCTGTCTGTCTGTCTGTCTGTCTGTCTGTCTGTCTGTCTGTCTGTCTGTCTGTCTGTCTCATTGAACATATAAGTATTTGTTACATCTCGCATATGGGCATCTCGCATGTCCGTCCGTCCGTCCGTCCGTCCGTCCGCCTGTCTGTCTGTCTGTCTGTCCATCCGTCTGTCTGTCTGTCCGTCCATCCGTCTGTCTGTCCGTCCGTCCGTCCGTCTGTCTGTCTGTCTGCCTGTCCATCCGTCCATCCGCCCGTCCGTCCGTCCGTCTGTCTGTCTGTTCGTCCGTCCGTCCGTCCGCCTGTCTGTCTGTCTGTCTGTCTGTCTGTCTGTCTGTCTGTCTGTCTGTCTGTCTGTCTGTCTGTCTGTCTGTCTGTCTGTCTGTCTGTCTGTAAATGTGCTGGGCTGGCCATGCCTCCGGCAGGACGCGGGATTGCCCTAGACAATAAGGCACTTCGCCTCTAAAAGAAGCGCATTCGTCGCGTGGGCGTTCATTTTCAAATCAGCAGAATAAAATGGCCAAAAAATAATTAGGACTTCCATATGACGTACGTGCAGTGAAAACAAATGGTAAATCAAACCGCGTGTGGATGCCTTGACATTACAGTTTTAATAAAAACTAATAGACATTTAATTGTGTCCCCATATTTGCTTGGTGTACTGCAATAGAAGGGCATATGCAAAATTTCCTGAAACGCTTGGAAGTATTTAAAACGTAAATACCGCGATCAACGAACACCGCGGAAAACAGGACAGACAAGAGTGGCCACTAGGTTTCAAGAAACACTACAATAAGTGATCTCCCCATCTCCATAAGAGCTGGCTCATGCACTCGCAAGGACTACTTATCTCAAGGCAAAGTGCCATTTCAAACAAGCAGAAGCGAGAAATTTTCTTCCCCTCGCTTGCCCTCGATGTATGTGTTGAGATGCTGGCAGCTCATAAGCACATGATGTATTGCTTTCAGCGTGTGTAGTCGTCTTCACTGAAACAAAGTTTCGGAAACAGAAGCACGTCTTTCCTGTCTCTTTCGTAGCCGTATGCATTTAGCGATGTTTACTTCAGTGAGATGGCCAATACGACAGTGCATATATGCTTAGACACATCAAACAGGTTTAGGACATAAAAAAAAGATGACTGTATTATTGCTTCTTTAGCAGTAGTTGAGCATTGTAGCTATGCATTTGAAATATATAAACAGTTTTTGAAGTTACAGCTCACTGAACATATAAGTATTTGTTACATCTCGCATATGGGCTATTTCTTATTCTAAGTAGTGCATTACACAGTTTTTTTTTTATTCGCACATGGCAGTTTGCATGTGTAGTGGTGTCTCGCACAATGATTGCTGAGTACGTCTATTTGGTTTCCGCTTACACTTGCTTGTATGCTTAAAGACGATGGGAGATGACACACGTCTTTCTTTTATTGCGATAGCAATATGGACACTCTCGGTTGTATTTCGCCGCTAGCGTCGATGTCATGCACCGTGTATATATATATATATATATATATATATATATATATATATATATATATATATATATATATATATATATATATATATATATATATATATGGTGGGGTGATATTCAATGGATCCGGTGGAAAATGCAGTATAAAAAGAGGTCGACAAACGTGCGAAAAAACACTAGTTTTACTAACGTTTCGGCAGGTGGGCCTGCCTTCGTCGGAGTGAACTCCGACGAAGGCAGGCCCACCTGCCGAAACGTTAGTAAAACTAGTGTTTTTTCGCACGTTTGTCGACCTCTTTTTATACTATATATATATATATATATATATATGGCTCAACGGGAGCGTTGTCAACAAGGATAAATAGATTTATTTCTCAACAGTTTCGGGAGGGACCC